ATAAAAAAGAATAAAATAATGCCATTTGCAGCAACAGGGATGGACCTGGAGATTGTCATTCTAAGTGAAATAACCCAGAAAGAACAAGAAAAATACCATATGTTATCACTCATATGTGGAATACTAAAAAAAAAGATACAAATGAACATATTTACAAAACAGAAACAGTCTCAAAGACATAGAAAACAAACTTATGGTTACCAGAGGGGAAAGGAGGTGGGAAGGGATAAATTGGAAGTTCAAGATTTGCAGATACTAACTACTATATATAAAATACATAAACAAGTTTCTACTGTATAGCACAGGGAACTATATTCAGTATCTTTTAGTAACCTATAATGAAAAAGATATGAAAAGGAATATATGCATGTACATGTATGACTAAAACATTATGCTGTACACCAGAAATTGATGCAACATTATAAAGTGACTATACTTCAATTTTTAAAAAAAGGAATCCAAAGGGGGCAAACTCATTCCAGAGCCATTCTGGAACATCATGCTGTTCTACAATTATTTATAACTATTAGAGATCATTTTGTTACGGTCAGCTCCACCACCTGGCCAAAATCTGTTCACCTGGGCCTCCCAAGTACAAGAACACAGTTGAGTCAAGTTAAGAATTAAGTCCCGAATTCCCTGAGAAGGACTTTGAAATAAATGAGCCAATGAGGAAGGTGACCTCACTGGGGAAAAGGGCCCATGGGGAGGCAGCCTGGCCCTGACGGGCAAGGACAGAGGTGGGGCAGGGAAGAGCACTGTGAGAGGAGCGTGCCCGGCCAGGACTGCTGCAGAGCAGGGGTAAATGGGACCCCTGACCCTTCTCTCTTTGAATAAGCAATGGCTAATGGGGACTCAGCAGCAGTCAGGTTGGGGTCAAACGGGAGTTGATAACATTGCCTCTGACTCCAGCCACATTCTCTTCATCCCCTCAAATAGGCCTCATTTCCTTTTTTGGACACTCAATTTCATCAGTCATGGGTGGGTTAGGAAGGACATATAAGTCACCTCCATTCTGCTGATACAGCATTTCCCAAAGGGCTTTGTGTTCCACAGACTGGAACACCTGAGACAGGAAGGCCCTTTCCAGTTCTTCCTCAACCTTGTGACTATGTCAACAAAAAAGACTCAGCTTGGTACTTATATGCTTTCACAACACCTCTCATATTTGAACAAAGAGAAAGAAGACTTCAGATCCAGAGCCTGCCATGGGCAGCAGTGTCTGCCCTCCCATCTCTTGGAAACTCCAAATTACATATACAGAGTCCCACAGCTCACTGATGCCCTGTTCACTTTTTAATTCTTTTTACTTTCTATGTTGCATTTTGGAGGGTTTCTGTTGCTATGACTTCAAGTTCACTACTTTCTTCCATGATGTCTAATCTTCGGTGAAGCTCATTTCTCTCAGACATTTAGTTCTCATGTTGAGAAGTTCGATATAGGTCTTTTAAATATCTTCATGTCTCTTCTTAACTTCTTGATCACATGGAGTATAATTATAGTAACTGTTTTGATTTCTTTTCTACTGTCTTGTCTCTTGATTCAAATGTGTCGGTTCTTGGTGAGTTTTGATTGATTTTTCTTCTCATTATGAGCCCTAGTCTCCCATTCCTCTGAGCAGCTACTGGGCATTGTGAATTTGATGTTGTTGGATATTAAATATTTCTGTGTTTTCTATAAAAATGATTCTCGATCTTTGTTCTAGAATGTATTTAAATTATTTGCAAGCCATTTGATTCTTTCAGGTCTTAACGTTCAAGATTATTAGGCAAGATCCAAGCAGTGTTTAGTCTAGGGCTAATTATTCTCCACGACTGAGGCAAAAACCTCAGTATCCTACCCCAGGAATTATGAAGTTTCCCATTTCACCTGGTGGAAAACCACTCTTTCTGGCCACGCATGAGTGTCAGGTGCTATTCCCTCTAAACCTTTCAGGTGGGTCTCCCCTCAGCCTCACACACGTACTCTGCCTTATACTTGCAGAGACCCTCTGCAGGCTTCCAGAGTTGTGTGTGCTCCCTCCTCTCCAGCAGTCTGTACCGTGAGCTCTTGCCACTGTGGTCTCCCCAGACTTTAAACTCTCTCCCCTCAACTAAGGGCGTGACTGGGCTCCACCCAGGTCCTCGTGCCATGTGCCACAGACTGGAAGTTCTCTAAAGGCAGTCAGCTGGGGTGATCATAGGGCTAGCTTTGTTTCCTCTTTCGTGGACCACTAGCCTTTCTTGCTTGATTCCTAGTATCTTGAAAATTATTGCTCCCCTTCTTCTTTTTCAGTTGTTTCAGCAGCAAGGTAAATCCATTCCCTGTCACTCCATCTTGGCTGAAAGTAGAAGTCTCCCATTTACTCCTTCAATTAGATTTGTTTTCTTCACATAGGTCCTATACCTTCTCATTAAATTTGTGTCTAAATATATTCCAGTTTTTGTATATATAACATTTGTCCTGAAATTGAACCATGCATTGGTCATAAATGTATTCATAGGTGAGTAACAAAAAGATGAGAGTTAGGCATCTAGGGTTGATGCAGCTGCTCAGCAATGCCAACAGGGACCAAAGCACTGTTCCCCCATCCTCAACACATTGACTGTTGTCCTCATGCTTCTTACTTCACGGCACGAGATGGCTGCTACAACACCAGGCCTCACGTATGTGATCCAAGCAGGAAGAAGGAAGGGGAAAGCAAGGAGCAGTAACTCCCTCATCAGGAAAGCAAAAGATTTCTCAGAATAAATTGTCTTATTGGCCAGAACTGTAACATTTGACTACTTGTAACAATAACTCAGTCTGGAGAAGTAAATGTTTAGCCGGAAGTTTTACCACAAATTCACCCCAAAAGATGAGGGTTCTGGTTGGTTATAATGAAAATTGACACTAGACATGCAACTATCAGCTCTCCAAGCTACTCCTGCATTCTTAAAATAAATCTTGCTGGCTCATAGTGAATTATTCTTTTAAATACATTGCCAGAATCTATTAGACAATGTTTTGACTTTTTTAAGGCTATCGTTAATACTCAGGATTAAAGACTTGAACTGTGGGTAATGGAAATGGGAAAAGAAATATATTCAATGTATTTTCAGAGGCAGCATCAAGACCCTGTGACCAGAGCTGATTAACCGCACATAAAAATGCTGGAAGAAACAAAATAAGCAGAAATATAAAGTACTACTTAAATTTAAAATGGGAATAATCACCAGTGGTATTAAACATTCATTAAACACTAAGGCTGAAATATTTGTGAAATTTTCTCGAGTTTCAGATTTTTCTTAATTTGGAATGTCCTAATTGGGTACTTAGCATTTTTATCAGCACACAGAAAAAATATACCATTCACTCTTGACTTTTATTAAAATAAAGCTATTGTTGTGACAGCAGTGTTGTGGTCTTTTTTTTAACAAACTTTTATCTTTCAGATATATACTGAAGTATTTATAGATGAAATTATACATTTAGTACTTGCTTCAAAATAACATGAGTTAGAGGGGAAAGTGGGTAGGAATAAAGATGAAACAATTGGCATAAGTTGAGATAACTGAAGATGGGTATTCGGTATATGGGACTTGAATTATTCTGTCCTCTTTTGAATATGTTTGGAATTTCCTATAATAGAAAAACTTTTAATGTTTGTGGAATGGAAGCATGTACGTGTACGTCTGTGTATATATGAATGTATAAATACAAATATTTGTTTTAAATGATACACTGTCCAGTGGGGACTCCATTCCACAGGACATTTACTTTTTAAAAAGGGAACTGTTACACAGTATTCATGGGAGGGCAGTTGTACTATTTCCTGAACTTAGCCCTAAACAGCCATGGGGAGGGCCTGCCAACCCGCTAGTAGCCACTACCACCTTTCTCCTCACTGTCCTTAGCTTTGGAGTCTAAACTCCAAATGGTTCCTGAGTCCAGCTCTAGATTTTATCAAATTCATAACAGCACTCAAAGTAACAATGACTGCATTTACACATGCTGCAAGCATTCTTAAACCCAAAATGCTTCAAAGATTAAACAGTCATACACATTTAAAAATACATAGAAAAATAATGTAATTAGAATTTATACAAAGCAGATTTTTACAAAACAAGTACAAGAAATACATCTGATATCCAAGCACAAAAATGTGGAAATATACATGGAAGTATACGCTTAAGAAAAAACATTTATTTTTAAATGCTGAATGGGAAGGCAGAGACCAAGTTCTGGTTTACTGGTATAACTCTGAAGAGAACTTATATTGGCTAGCAGAAATTTTCATTCCATTCTCAAGCTTATAAAAGCGGTTCCTGAAAGGATTAGACAGCTGTTCCTCTTTCCAAATTCTGTTTAATTTCAGCTGTGTATTTCCCATAGAATCTTTCAGCCTTCTTGTTGAATTTGGCATTTCTTTCATTGATGTAGTCGATATCTGCATCATCATTATAGGGACGTCTCCGGCTATATTTGTCTCGTTTTTCAATTCTGAGAGAGGGAAGTAATTTACAAAATACAAAATTGCCTTCTTTTTGAATCTTAATAAAACACAGCCAAATGGTTAAGAATAGAATTAACACTTAAACCAGCACTTTGTGGCGGGGTTAGAGGTGTAGGAGAGAAGCCCAGTTTTCATCAAGATCAAGCTGAAACTGTCAATTAACAGCACAACCCTGGGTATGAACCATGAAATTCAGTAAACACAAATTCATCTTCAAAATGCTTCTAAAAGAAGCACTGTTAGGAACTGGACATATGAAGTATCACTTAAAATTACAATAGTAATTATATTAATAATAACCACAGCTCATATGAACAGAGTATACAGTATGTACTAAATACTATTCTTGATACTTAAGTATATTCTCTCCTGTAATATAAATTCATTTTGCTCTGCCTAATCAGTATCAAGAAACACCCCTACCAGGGGGAGGGTATATAGCTCAGTGGTAGAGCACATGCTTAGCATGCATGAGGTCCTGGGTTCAATTCCCAGTACCTCCATTAAAAAAATAAATAAATAAACCTAATTACCAACCCCTCCAACCCCCCAAAAAGAAAGAAACACCCCTACCAGTATTAAGAAACACAAATATAACAAAGGTAAATTTACTACAACATTTGTGTTTCTTCAAAGAGTGGAATGGTAGTTAAAGTAAAAATAAGAATAATATCTTAAAGAATAACTTTTTAATTTTCAATTATTTGACAACTCAATTCCATCAATATCTTGCATCTTCATCCAAATCATATGTTCTCAACCCATCCTAGTTGTCTGTTCCCAAAACCACCCTAGATGCTAGGTCAGAAATGAGCAAATATGGTATCTGTTTTCTCAATTCATTCTAAGCACATTATGTCCATTTTGTCATTAAACATTTAGAATTTCAGGCTGCTGCACAGAGTACTCACTGTTTTTCCAGATCTACGACCATCCTATCAATTTCCTCTGTGGAAGGCACATGTGTTCCATGAAGAAGACTGTTGGACGTTGGGAAAAACTCTTCTCCACTGAAAAGACGGCAATGTGGACTTAGAGGAACACTGCAAGTGCTCCACGTTTTCAAATTTCAAACTAAACTACCATTCATGATGAGAAATACAATACCTACATATCTTTACTGCAGGATCCTACCTTACTTTAAAGACAGAAAATACAGAATTTGAAGGGACAGAAGAAATCACCTACTCCAACACCTCCGTTTTACAGATGTAAGAGCCAAGGAGTAGAGCTTTGCTAAAGGACTTGCTTCTAGGCTCAGCTTATTTCTCCTTCCACTAAAGCAGGCCAGCAAACTACAGCATCTGTTTTTGTGAACAGTTTTACCAGGACACAGCCCACCCATCTACGTCTCCTCTACGGCTGCCTTCACATCACAAGGGCAGAATGGAGTAGTTGTGACAAACCATACAGCCCACAAAGCCTAAAACGTTCACTATCTGGTCCTTTTCTGCAGAAGTTCTCCCATCCTAGCACTAAAGCATTTTGTCTCTAAAATATCTGACTGACTGTGATAATCTGGGCATTAAATCCTCAACACCCCGTCTTAGAATGCCCCTAGAGAGATAACCAGGAGTCAGCTTAACAGCTGTGGATGAGCAATAAATAGTATCGTCAAGACCAAAAACCATCCTTAGACAGCTGTTGATAACCCAAGTACCTAAGCACTGAAGTATGTTTGGATTTATGTACATACGTGTACACACACACACAAGTACCTCAGTATCACTTCAGGAGGGGAAAGGACTTGCATTAATCCTGTCAACTTACTGTTTTTCTCTCAGTCTCTCGTACGTTTCCATGTCAGGTTTGATCTGCCTGGTCAGCCGATGATACTGGCGAAGCTGGGCAGCAGCATAATCTAAAAATAAAATGAGAATCAGAAATGACGTAGTTCCTTATTTGGTCACGCTACTCAGAGAAAAATCAAATTTGTAGTAGTAATACATGCACAAGACACTAATCTAAGCATAGCCTCTATCCTGAGGATGCTCATTATACAGGCTTTAATTTTACCACACAGAAAGGATCCAGTGGACTCAAGTACAGCCATTTTCACTTCTGCTCTGTGAGACATTTTTGTATTTTTCTTGGGAGTAAGCTTCTTAAGAGAATATTCCATTATGGGGCATGTCTTTTCTTAAAACCAGAAACATTCAAGGCAATGTTTATCTAACAGGACCATTCAATAAAGTAAAGGTCAGTTTTACCTGAAAATCCCAGATCCGGGTTTTTCTTCCTCTTTTTCCTCTCCCATCTTTCTGCATCTTCTGCACTGATCTCCAGCAACTTTACTTTCTCATAGTCTTCCCCCCTTGCTGCACATTCCTAAAAAGAAAGGAAAAAAAGCTAGGGCCTGCCTTTAAGACAAGCAATTATTTGATCTATTTTAAATGAAGACTGAATAAAGATATCAAGCAATAGGGGGAAAGGTATAGCTCAGTGGTAGAGTGTATGCTTAGCATGCACGAGGTCCTGGGTTCAATCTCTGGTACCTCCACTAAAAATAATACATAAATAGACCTAATTACCTCTACCCTCTCCAAAATGAAGATAAATAAAATAAAAATAAATTTTAAAAAAGATATCAAGCAATATTTTAGAATTATTAATAGTTGAAGGAAACTTGGTAATCTGCTGGTACATAGTAAGAGAGTGCATTGATCTAAAAAAATAATACTCAACATTTATCAGGTGTCAGACCTTTTTTAAAATGTTTTATATGCACTGACTTATTTAATTCATAATTAACTCAAATGATTATATTATAGTCCCCATTTTACAGATGAGAAAATATAGGCATAGAGAGATTAAATTACTTGCCCAAAGTGTTGCAGCTGGTAAAAAGCATTTTCTACTCTCTCAACACAACAGAATGACTGAATAAAACAGGAAGATAGCAGACTAGTTCCTAACCTTTTTCTTTTCTTCTTCCTGTAGTTCCCATTCCAAACGAGCTTTTTTGGCTTCCCAATTAGCAGGTAACTTAAGTCTTTTATCTTCTTCAACAACTTCCTGGTGATTTAATTTACGAGCTTCATTCTAAAATCATAAACACAATAAGGTTGTCTGCTGAAACACAAAAACAAATCCAAACAAATCTTTCCTTCTTTGAGGAAAGTCAGGTAAGACACACTAACAGAGGGACTTCATTTAACCCTAAAAGTAAGAGAACCATCAAAGGATTTTAAGAACGGGAACGGCCTAATTAGGTCTGTATTTGTAAACAGTCAAGAAATGTGTTGGGCTGCACTGGTTTGCTGTTCCAGATACCTAGGGGTTAAGGTCAGTTCTGTCTCTGTTTAGCTCTGTGGTCTCTGTGAGCAAGCCCCTTAAGGTTGGATGGAACAAGATCTCACAAAAGTGGAAAAGGCATACTACGGCGGCACTTAGGTAGACTTTAGATAGAATGAAATAATATTACATTAGATTATGAGGAAGATATTCTACTTTCAATCCTCTTTTAATCCTAATTCAAGGAAGAAGCCTCAATTTGGGGCTGGGGGCTTTCATACCTATCTTAATGTCCCTAACCTTTCCCAAGTACCCCCTCCTCTTCAGATTTTAATACTTTACATTGTGGCAAATGAAAGGGATTTTCCATTAGAATTACTAATTCCATTAGAAAAAACAGAATTCCATTAGAGTCTGTTTTAAAATAAATTTAACTGCATAAAACAAAATGAGTATGTCTCTTAAGAACAATGTAAATTAGATGTTTCCTTGGTCACAGGTTGGTGGCAGTTAGTCCAGGAAGACATGTCTCCAACATATTCAACCCCATGTTCTTTACACAGTCCTTCCAAGTAAATATTTAACTGTGCTTAATTGTTTATTAAATTTTTCTGGGTAGAGAGAGAGACTCCTTTCAACAACTCTTGGCTCTGGCAACACCCTCCAACTGAAGACACCAAAAATATATGCAAACAAACTTGTGTATGTTGCACTGAAAGAAACAGTAAACCATAGGGAACTGTAGGCATTTCAGTGACAAGGTATTAGGAAGGGTTAATATCTGATACAAATATGACTTGAGTTTGTTGCAGGTGACTGCAGGGAAAGATTCAAGGAAGTGTGGTTGTGCTCCAGATCAGGCACTATCAGAAAGCCAGGGCATTCTATGATTGGGTATCTTCAGTTTTTATGAAGGAGGCAGGATTAATGGAGTGAAGACTAGTGCTTGCACTTGTCACTGGTGTTAACAGAAGAGGGTTCTGTGTGGTCATTTCTGTGGTTTGAATAGTCCTGTTTTTGTCACACTCTGATAGTCAGAATGATGTTGGTGATTTTGTGAAACCATAGCCAAGCTGTCAGGCCACTCTGAGTTGAAACAGTCAAGAGCTGCCTTTTCATTTCACAGCTCCAACTGTAGCCAGTTGCTTGCTGGACTTTTATCTCTGATATGAATTCTCTTTCTTTGCATTTGTCCCTTCTGCTTGGATATTTCCTCCTCCAACTTCTTTATTTGCCTGATAACATCTTATTCATCTTTCAAACAGTTTAAGTGTCACCTCTTTTATGAGGCAATCCCTGGAGCCCCCCAAACTGTACCAATCTCTCCTCCTCTGCACTCCCAAGGCACTTTGTTCCTAATTCAAGCATAGCATTTATCACAATATAATTTCTGGCTAAAAGCTGTCTCCTTTACTTAAGAAGAGGCCTTATCTTAATCATCTGGTTCCCCACCAACTAGCTGAACCACTGACCCTACAGACCTTCCCAGATTTGCTGTGTTTGAATGAAAAGGCAACCAGCTTTTTTTTTTTTTTAACATGGGACAGGTTTCTTCCAGTCTTGAGCTCTATATATTTCCCTAGGTAAAATAAAGAGTTTAGGAGAATCACACAGCAGGGAGACCGTTAGCAGTAACAGAGAACCCCAAACTTAGCCCAGCTAAGTTAAAACACATGCGTGTGGGAGGAGGGCTGGAAAGAGCACGTCTACTTCCAAAAGTGACTACAATGTGCTGCCAGGTTGAGAACCCAGGGACAGAACTTTCATCTTGCTCTGCGGCTCTGTCACACGCGCTGGTGCAGCTTCCTCGTCCCTCTACAAATGCGTTCGGGCCTGGCCAGCTGACAGGTCTCAGCCGGCCTCTGGGGCTACTCACCCGCTTCAGGTGCAGCTCCCGGAATTTGCGCAGCCTCTGTTCGCGCTTCTGGGCGGCCAGCTCCTCGGCCTCCACAGCGGGCTGCAGTTCCTCCGCGCCGTCCACCGGCACCTAATGCGAGGAGGACAGGCTGGAGGTGGGGCCGGTTTGGCTGCTCCCCGGAAGGCCCAGGCGGATTCCCCGCGGGTCTCACAGTCTGGGCTGGGCCCTCACTGCCCACACCGACCCCACACTGTCTGCGCCTTTCTGGCCCGGCACCCAAGCATCTCCTTCACCTCTCACCCTTGCCATCCTCCAGAGCCCTCCCCTACACAAACCTCTGGGTAGAACCGGAGACACTTACCTCCTCAGCTAGAGCCGCAGCCGCCATCACAGCCTTTCCTTTCCTGCTTCCGGCAACAACACAGAGCACTTCCTCCGACCTTTGTACCGCCCCGTCGATATAAGCTGATGACCTATTCTAAGCTCCGCCCCTTCCTGGCAGTCTTAGGAACTTGGGACCAATCCCTGCCCCGTTTAGCACTGAATCGATTTCGATTGGGCAGAGCCTTGCGCAGCCGCAGAGGCAAGGGCGGGGCGGAGAGAGAAGGACCTGGAAGCTCTCGGGAGCGGGTAGGCTGGTAGGAATCGTAGACCCTAATGGCGAGTCATCTCCACTGTGCGTTGCACCTTTGAGCGGAAAGTGCTTTCCTTTCAGTCCTTAGCCTTAGTGTCATCACCTTCTCCGAGAAAGGTCTCCCCGACTACGTTGTCTCGCGTAGGCTCTTAATAATGTCATACGGCACCATTTTCATTCTCTTGAATAGTGCAAGGTTTTTCTACTCTGTTAATCTGCTCTTTCCTCCAACAACGTTGTAAACTGCAGGGGAGCAGGGCCCGTCCCATCTTGTTCATTCTTCCGTATCCAGCAGGGAAACTGAGCCAGAATTAGTAACCGTGCTGAAGTTGTTAATAGTTCAGCTGTATTATTAATGCAGTAAGGTACTGGATAAAAGAAGAATATATGAAAATAACTTTTTTCTTCACTAAAACCGTTAGTTAGATGTGGAAATGAAAATGTAATCCCCAAAATGAAAAGATACCTAGGTGTAAGATTTAAATGGTAACATTAAGAAAAGTACGAAATAATTTTAAGCACAAAAAATTAAATTTGAATAAATGATGAAGGATTTTCTGGTTGGAAGACAATATAAAAATGGCATGTCACAAATAGTGTCTCAAAGGAGTATAAATGTAATGTTAGTCCCATCAGAATCTCTGTGGGTTATTGTTTTTGTTTTTTGGACCTGGAGAATACTTTGAAAAAAATCTAAGTTTGCCAACACACTATTGGTGAGCCTGTGAAGAAATATGAATTCATACATTAATAGTAGGACTGAAAACTGATACACCTTTAGGGAGGGCAATTTGGCAGTATCTGTAAAAATTCCGAACACATTTACTCTTTGACCCAGCAATCTGGGAATTTATCGTACAGGTACAGTTGTGCAGGTATAAAATAACTTCTGTACAAGGTGGTTCATTTCAGTTGTGTTTTTTTTTTGTCTTTTTGTAAAAGCCAAAAATTGGAAACAACTCAAATGTCTTGTCAATAGAAGACTGGTTAAATACATTATGGTATTCAGTGAACACTCTGAAGCTATGAAAATGGGGGATCTCTATGTATACTAATTTGGGAAGATCTGCAAAATATACTAAGTGAAAAATGCAAGGAGCAGAACTGTGTACGTAGTTATAGTATGCTACCTTTAGGGAACAATGGGTAGGGTTAGGGTTACTAAGAGTATTTTTTTGTTCTGCAAGAAGCTTAAGTAAGCAATAATCTGGGGGTGGGTTATTGTAGAGACATATAATATTTTGAACCATATTAATGTATTTCCAATTCCAAAATTAAAAGTTAATATTAAAAGTTCCTATAAAAAGAGTCAAGAGTATTTTGGGGGAAAAAAATGAGAAGGGACTTGTCTTACTTGGAATTAAAACTTAATAAAACACTTGCACAGAAAATGACACATAAATGGAAGAGAAGAGAAAGTTCACAAGTGGATTCATTGGGAAAGTGATGCTTTTTAGAATAAAATAGAATAAATGGTGTTTGCATAATTGGCTGCAATCTGGACAAAACAATATTAGATTCCTATCTCACAGAAGAGGGGGAAATAATAATCATCGACTGTCAGGACATGAAAATTAAAATAACTCTATGTGGCTTTATCTCTCTCAAATTGGCAAAAAATAAAAAGACCAATAAAATCAAATAATAGAGGAGATTTCAGAAACCTGCACTTCTAAGCATTGCTGATAGGAATGGGAATTGCTACCTTTAAGAAAAGTCAATCAACAGTATCTATCAAAATTAGAATTATATGAACCCTTTAAGTAGACCAACTTTTAGAATCTATCAGAAATAAAAGTACTGGTATAAACGCACTGGTATACAAGGGCATTTGTTACAGCAAAAATCTCAAAACAGCTGCGTGTAATATGAACTGTGAGGAAGCCAGGACCCAACCTGGGTCGCCACTTCTGCATGTGTGCCAGGCCCCAGGATCCTCCCTCTGACCCCTCCTCCTGGTGCAACTTCTCCCTCTGGAGCAGGCCCTGCTGAACTAACCCAGGCCTAGGGATACCTGGCATGATCAACCTGGTACATAATCTGAGGCTGGCTTCCTCCTAAGTTGCCTCCTCCTTCTCCTCCTTGACCATCCTCAAGGACCCTTCTCTTTCCTCTTCTTCTTCTTCCTCCAAACCTCCTTTCCCCTCTCTTCTTCCTGCCTAGCTCCTCCTCATGGTGAGCTTCTTGTGCCTTAATGCTGTGACACAGTCCCCCACCCCACTTCCCATCTTCCTATCAGAAGTACACAGGAACCAGTTGCCCCAGAAAGCTGTGATTTTAAACCCCTTCCTTGCTGGAAGTATGTATCTGTGCCTAAATAAAGCCCAGGTCTTTGTTTTAGTGCACCCACCCCCCAAAAATCTCAAAACTGTAACAGACTTCAGAATCCATTAAATTCCCTTATATTGAGGAAGATTTTAAAGTATGTCTTGAGGAAGTGATCTCATATCTTTGGTGTAATTGAGTCCCCAGTGTAAAGCTACGAGGGAAGAAATGGAAGGAAAAGGGGAGTTAAGTAGATTCATGGGGCTCTGTTTGCTGAGCTCACAGATATTCTGAGGTAGCACCGATAATTTTTTTCCATTCAGCTTTTTAACATTTATTGAACAGCAAGCTACTAGGTACCAGATTCTGTGGTGGAGCCAATTGGCATACAGAAGTGGTCAGGGGGGAGTTGCCTCACAGATCTTAGACTTGTCTAGGAAAGCAAATGGACATTGGGGAAGGGAAATGCTTGTAAGCTGCTTCTTTTATGGTTTTACAAATCCTGTCATTCTTTTCTACATTCCTATAAGTAAAATTGAACTGTATATTGCCAATTTGCTTACAATGCAAATTAAGAAAATTCCCAATACCTGGCCTTAAAAAGTGCAAATCCTCATGACTAACTAAAGGAATCTCTAAAAGAGATAAAGAGAAAGCAGCATAGAAGGGAGAGATAATATTCTGTGTGGTAAAAAAAAAAACTGCTCAACGAATCTGATTTTGTAAGATAATGTATTAAGAACATTCCCAGGGATGTCTATCTTGTTTTCCTGTGCAACATGGAGATTTATGTGACTCTTCAAAACTCTATGGAACTGTATAATTTATCTATGACAGCAGGACAAGTCACCTCAAAGCTTGATACATTGATACAACAACTACTATTTTATTATCTCTCAGTTCTAGACTGGGCTCAGCTAGGTGGTTCTCACTTGGGGGTCTCCTATGCGGTTGTAGTCAGATTAGGGGCTGGGGCTGGGGCTGGAAGCATTTCGGAGGCTTCCTCACTCAAATGTCTGGTGGCTGATGTTGGTTGTCTGCCAGAACATCTGCATGTGGCTTCTCCATTTGGCCTGGGCTTCCTCAAAGAATGGTAGTTGGAGTCTAAGAACAAAAATTCTTTAAGAACCGGGTAGAATCTGTTCACCCTTTATGATCTAGCCTCAGAAGTTACATAATGTCATTTCCTTCAAGTCACAGATTCAAGGATTAGGGACATAGACCCTACCTCTCCATGGGAGGAGTGTCAATATCACACTGTAAGCATAGCACATAATTTGGAAGATCTTCTACCATCCTGGAAGGTTCAGTTGGCCACACAGCTTGTTCTGTTCTTCATTAATAAATCTATGTAAATATAACTTGAACAAAGAGCACTTATAAGACTTCAAAAAAATTAAATTCTTGCCATGTTCCATGAAAACAATTGTGCTAGATATTTTGTTTGCCCTCTTTAGAACTACTCTCCACCAGTCTCTGCTCTGCTCTTTTCCCATGAGAGCTGGCTTGTATGACTGTATCAATAAGCTTTCTTTCTTACTACTTCTACTCATTGGGTCCTGCCAGTGAGTGGCACCTACAGAAGATCAGAAGTCCAGAAGAAATGAAGTCAGGATAATTTATTCCCTGGCTAGATTATGGGTTGGCTGCATTTCTTAGTCACAGCTCTGACTGAAGACCTATCCTGTTCTTCCTTTGCTTCTTTAGGATTAGGAGTACCAATGGCTCTCCCTTGTTGCTAGCCCTGGAATGCTTTATTCTCTTGTTGGTTTCTCTTAATCCAATCTAAAACTTTGTAAACAATCCCTTTATTAAAATCTCAATTACTTGGTTTGAGTATGTAGAACTCTGACTGATACAGTATTTTCAAACCCTGTAATTCTGATAAGTGATCTTTCTGAAAATAATTGACATTTCTATATTTCTAAAGAATATAAGTGTTTGTAAGACTGCTTTGTCAGATCATCCATAATACTGACAAAATAAAAGCCTATGACTGCTAGATTTGCTGCTTTCATAGTTAAGAAACTTGTCTCATTTAAATTAACTACACTAGGTAAGCAATTCTGCATTGATTTAATTACATTTGTGTAAGCACCGTAAAGAAGGAAGTATGAAGAGCTATAAGAGGAGAAACTGACCCTTTGTGTGGTGAAGGTTAGGTCTTTCCGGAAGAAAGACATTTAAGAAAACTCAGGCAGGAAGACACATCTAATCCCAACTGGAAAATTGGTCATTTGCCATGGGCCAGGCACTAGTCACAGATACTTTACATATATTATCTAGTTTGTCCTCAAACTACTCTGTGACATGGGTATTGCCTTATTATTTATTTTTCATAGATAATGAACCTGATAATAGGAGAGTTAAATAACTGAGAGTGGTTATACTGTTCATTATTGAATGAATGGACAAATATATGAAGAGTAGGATTCTATGCAGAATTTTGAGAAGAAAGTCAAAGCCTCAAGTTAATCCAAGAAACCTCTCTGCATCATGGAGATGCATGAGGAAGAGATCCCAAATACTGCAAGTCAACTT